GATTTGATTTATCATCAAATATTCTTTAAGCATGACATAAGCATTTTTGTATTTGCATAAAAAATTTGAATAAGACGAATGGTCAAACGTTGGTTAAAAAATCAACGGCGTCATACATTAAAATACGGAGGGAGTACTGTAACTGAATGGTTGACAACTTGAATACTTGATTACATAGTTCAATCCAGCATATGCCCTCTGGGGAGAAAAACTGTCAATCAATAGAACTAAGAACCACTTCCCTCTTGCGTGGTTTCTGAAGGCTTGCATAGCAGGCAGCTCTTACCAACAAAGCCGCATCGTTGCTTCTTCCTCCTAGAGAATCTCTCTTCTACGCGTTGGTCGCTTTCAGTCCTTCAGAGATCGACTTTTCAATGTGAGCATCTTGTACCCGAACAAAGTGACCAAGTCAAGCCTACTACTTGTCCTGAAAGTTTTTCCCTGATTGAAGAAAATGCCCTGTTCATATGAGGGGAAATGCACTTCCAGCCTTTGCTTTGCTCATCAGACAATCAATCGCTGGCTTGGTCCGTGCGTGCCGCTGCCTTTGCTATTCTAGAAGCCAGCAACTCTGGTTTCTGGCAGGAGCTGTCCATAAATCAAAACGAAAGATGATAACAACGCAACAAAAGCGACCAAGATACGTCTCGAAACGTAAGAGAGTAACGCGAGACTGTAAGAGTTGTGGCTGTTCCTGAGGGCAGAAGAACAATCGTTGATCATTGCAGGCCTGGGTGGCTGGATTCATACATGAATACTAGTGAGCCGAGTAGTAGGATCTTTTCTATCAGTGCATGAATGGGTACATAGCGGTAATAAACTCTCAAAGAACGAGGTTCAAGATGTGCAGACCATTATATTCGGCCCCAATGGGGTTCAGGGGGGCGTACGGCCCACTAACAACTACAGGGCTGGAAAGGGATTACGGATGATGCGCGGCCCGTTATTGTTGGCCCGGAGTGGTACTATTACAGATTACGTGGCAAAAAGTTCACGTGAGGCCCTCCTCATCGTCGAGTTTCAAAATCATTCATAAACTAGAATACCAAATATGTTGCATTCCTAATATTCAAAACCGGGTCACTTTGGGTCCAAGGCAGTATAGATGATGGTTTTGAGTGACGTGGTACTAAAAGCAAAAATTAAAAAAAAAATCAAAACCACGTGAGACCCACGTATCATTAAAACAATATTCTTCCTGGTATCTCTCCCCACCACCCCCTCCTCATCGACCAGTCACTGCAGCTGCTGCTGCCTTCCCGTAGCTACTGTTGCCGAAGATCATTGATGATGCGGCAGATTTCACCCAATCACGGGCCTAGTTTCCTTCTGCTCCTGTTTCAACACCGGCGCTGTCGGGCGAGGGTGGTGGCCTGCAAACAACACGACAGTTGGAGCTCGGCATAGTGTTGTCGAGCTTCGTCGCATCTGGAGGAAATCATCGGTGTGGTCACTGCCTCACTAGTCGGAGTTGAGGATAGCAGGCCGGCTCGATGCGGCGCACACGTCAACACCGATTGTAGCAAGGGGACTAGATGCAGCACAAGCAGCCAGGCGGCGCACACTGGGAGGAGACCCGGGTTGTGGCTCGATAGTCAATCATGGGGCGAGGAGATGGCGATCAACGTGTGACATGCCTGACAAAGGCGATGAAGGAGGTCGGCAAGCAGCTTACTGGAATGGGGTAGGAAGAGGAAGGCCGGTGTGGTAGCGGTGGGGAAGTAGAGACCATTGGCCCGTCAGCAAACGACTCGGGCTTCCTCCTCTGCAACTTCGTCGGCCGCTGCACGGTCGCTGCCTCGTAGCTCCTTGGCTACTCGGACAACTTCCTTTGTCGCTCCGACCCGTTGCTCTCCCACCTCCATGCCATCATCACAACAGTTCTCTTCTGGCTCTCCAACACGGCCGTACCGCCCCGCAGGCCTCGCCCACCTCCACGCGCTCCACGCCGCGCTTGCCAACCTGCTCCTCCTCCCGAAGAAGCGTGTCGCCCAAACCACTAGCTCATCTACCGCCTCCTCCCTTCTCGACGGCTTCTTCGTCTTCGCCGACATGTATGGCACCTTCCAGGAGGCCATCCTCAACCTCAGGAAGCACGCCCCCAACGTCTAGAACATGTTGCGAAGGCACGACGCTACGAGGCTCTCCTCCGCGCGACGTTGGGGGGCCCGCGCAGGTCGTCGTCATCATCATCGCCGCCGGAGTGCAGCTAGGAGATGCGGAGAAGCCAAGTGATGTCCACAAGCGCGGTGTCGGGGACATTTAACTTTTTGCCACTTTTAAGATGTAACAATTAATTATTTGTCACTCGCTGTCTATAACATATGAGCCCTTATGTGTCTATGAAATGTGGGTTCAGTGACAAATCTTTTATCACCACATGTAAGAGTGGTAAATAATTAATTATTCCGCAGTGTCAAGCAGTGCCAGCCAGGGTGCGTGGAAGAAGATGGAGAGAAGAGAGGAGATGATGACATGTGGGCCATATTTGCTTTTGCCATGTAAGCGTGTACTTAGCGTGAGTGAACCGAGTCAATTTGTTACGTTAGCGAATTCATACTGCCGAAGGATCTTATTTAAACGGTTTTGCAAAGATCTGGGATGCATTATATATGGTATTCGGGTTCAGCGACAATTCTGAAACTCGACGACAATAGGAGGGATGTAAAGTAGACTTTTACCCATTATGTGCAGCCTGTTTAGTTGTCGGAAGTCCAAACGGGATGGAATAAGTTCACTTTGGGTCCCTTTATTTGTCGCCCAGTCCGATTTTCGTCCCTTGACCGCAAAACCGGGTACAAAACCGGGTACGACCCGTCCCTCAACTTAGGAAAACCGGGCAAACGAGATCCCTCGGTGGTTTTGAAGGCGGTTTTGGCTTACGTGGCGCTTACGTAACTTATTCGACTTGGTCTTCGTCCCACGTGGCATTGACGTGGCGCTTACGTGGCAATTATATCTCGGAAAAATAATAAAAAGCGTGGTCCCACATGTCAGCTGTACACAAAAATATTTTTTAAATGGTGGGGCCCACGTGGGCCCCGCATGTCAACCTCACACCTCTCTTATTCCCTCTCCCTTCTCTCTTCTTCCTTTCCCTCCTCTCTCTCTCCCCTACCCGGGCTGCCGACGGCGTGGGTGGGCGGCGGAGTAGGCGAGCTCCGGCGGCGGCGGCGGGCGTGGTCGGTGCCGCCCCCGACCGGAGCGCCGCGGACAGCGCGGCGTTGGCGGCGGGTGACCGGAGAAGTGCGCGCGCCGGGCGGTCGGAGTCGGCGAGCACCGCGACGTCGGAATCGGCCAAACCAACCCTTCCTCCTTCCCAAAAATACCCTCTCTCTCTCTCTCTCTCTCTCTCTCTCTCTCCGCCCCAAATCCCCCACCTCCTAACCCTCACCCTCCTCCTCATCATAGCCGCCGCCGACGTCGCTGAGTTGGCTTCCGAAGCGGACGCCATCCACGACCTAGCCAAGTCGGTCCCGGCCCTAGGGTGGGATGGCGACAACGTGTGCGGCTTCGAGGCTGTCACCTGTGAACGGGGCGGGTCGGGGAAGGTGACGGAGCTCAACCTCGCCAACAGGGTGCTCGCCGGCACGCTCCCGCCCACGCTCTCCTCCCTCACCTCGCTCACCGCGCTGCAGCTCCAGGGAAACGCGCTCGCCGGCGCCGTCCCTTCCCTCGCCGGGATGGCCTCCCTCACCCGCCTCGCCCTTGACGGCAACGCCTTCACCTCCCTACCACCCGACTTCCTCCTTGGCCTCACCTCACTGCAGTATCTCAGCATAGACAACCTCCCCCTCCAGCCATGGCCCGCCCCCGACGCAATCTCCAACTGCTCCTCCCTCGAAACCTTTTCTGCCTCCAACGTGCTTCGGTCAAGGGGCGGCGCCGACCATGCCCGCCGCCGCCACCGGAGCTCGCCTGCTCCGCCGACCACCCGCGTCGTCGGCAGCCCGGGAAGGAGAGAGAGAGAGGGGGAAGGAAGAAGAGAGAGAAGGGAGAGGGAAGAAGAGAGGTGTGAGGTTGACATGTGGGGCCCACGTGGGCCCCACCATTTTAAAAATATTTTTGTGTGCAGCTGACATGTGGGACCACGCTTTTTTTTCCCGAGATGTAATTGCCACGTAAGCGCCACGTCAATACCATGTGGGACAAAGACCTAGTCAAACAAGCCACGTCAGCCAAAACTGCCTTCAAAACCGCCGAGAAACCTCGTTTACCCGGTTTTCGTAAGTTGAGGGATAAGTCGTACCCGGTTTTGCGGCCAAGGGACGAAAATCGGACTGGGCGACAAATAGAGGGACCCAAAGTGAACTTATTCCAAACGGGATTGAGGGCTACGTGCGGCCCATTTAAATTGGGCCAATCGCACAACACTACAACAGGCCCAATTTTCGCCCTTTGCGGCTTCGTCTTCTTTCATTTCTCCGATGGCTTGATCCATCGAACTCCAATGTCGGAAGGGCACTGCAGAACGTTAGGCTTAACATCAGAAACGGCTAAAAGAATAGAAAGAAAATAGTATGTGTCTAGCTATCAAATTTGTTAGCAAATTGTCCCATTTATTAAGGGAAAATTACAATTACAAATTTATCATTGGTTTGATTGTCACTAGAAAATTACTTCCTCGTTCCTAAAATGAGCATCATATATACCAAGAATAATTTAAATCGCATCAATCAAGACAACATGCACATATTCTCTCACAATGCATGTATCGATCAAAACATTGTTGCCAATTACTCCCTCCGTGCTCGTAAAGGAAGTCGTAAAATAGTACACCTTAGCATACATAAATTCTTCCCTGCTGTATTAATTGTATTATGTTGAAATCCGTATCCATGCGGTTATATAATGATCAATTTAAGAAAATTTGCATTCCATTACATGCGGTTATATAATGATCAATTTAAGAAAATTTGAATTCCATTACATGATGATCAATTTAGGAAGTAGGAGTATAAAATTACCACTAGAACTATTACTCGAGTAGCATTCTTACATAATGACAAATTTGTAAATGTCTCCTTTATTTATTATTGATATTACCATCCAGTATGCATGTATACACTCCCCAATTTATCCATGCAAGTTCTATAACAAAACACACACTGACACACATGTAAGGTGTATAGATAGTCTACAGCTTGCAAGAACATGAGTTATATGTGTTCCGATGTATCTATGTCCTTTTTCTTCCATCGGTCGGCCGGCTTGCTAGGCGATGAAGGCTCTGGCGATGCGGCCGTCGGCGCCCTGGGGGAAGAACCCGCCGGCCTTGGCGGGGTCGCCGGAGCCGTACACGACGCCGAGGATCTCCTCGGGCGTGCGGTCGTAGGCGAGCGAGAAGCGGTCGCCGGCGATGATGTTGCCCACGGTCTGCCCCTCCGGCCCCTGCCCCGGCGCCACCACCAGCCCCTCGTCCTTGACCCCCTTCCTCCCCAGCACGTTCCGCAGCTCGGAGATGTGCGCCGTGAGCTCCGCCACCCCGACGCCGTAGCTCGCCACCCGCGACAGCCCGTGCTCGTACAGCAGCGCCCTGATCACCGCGTCCTGCGCCGACTCCACGCCCAACAGCCCCGCCACCAGCTGCACGTACATGCTGTGTGCGTGATCGATGGTGGTAGAGTGATCATGTGCCATGCGCGTGTGTCGATCGGGGTGTGTGCAGCTTTACCTTCCTGGCCTGAGGGGTGAGGAGCCTGGGGTTGGCGCCGACGTAGCCGGTGAGGCCGACGTAGGGGATGATGTAGGAGGCGAGGAGGAAGTTGAGGCTGTTCTCGTAGGGGTTGAAGGGCGGGTCCAGCGTCGTGTTCATCGCCGTCTCCACGATCTTGCCGAAGTTCGCCGCGCTGATGTCCAGCAGCGGCCGCGGGAACCCCTTCACGTTCTGCTTGATCTCCCTGCAGGCACGTACGATCAAATTAACACAAAATCGATCAAACGCTTGTGGAACACCGGTTCGATCGAGCTACGTTTGCATCTCCGCTGTTTTTACCTGAGGTGGCCGACTTCTTGGTAGCAGAATTGGGTGGCGATGTCGCGGACGAAGGGGGTGAGGGCGGCGGTCTGGGCACCGACGGGGGCAGGGCCGCCGCCGGTGAGGCTGGCATCGATGCCGTCGAGGCCGTAGCCCAGCGCCGACCAGCAGAAGAACTCCGCCTCCAGGTACTCCAGGTTCAGCGGGAACTCCAGCAGGTCCACGTCCGACTGCGGCAGCAGACCGCCGACCACGCCGCCGCCGGTGCCGCCGTAGAACCCCCTGTTCCGCGCCCACTCGTTGTCCATGTCCTGCGCCCGCGCGCCGCCGCCGCCGCACAGCGCGACGAGCGCCACCGCCGCGACCACGGCGAAGGTGACCGGTGCAGCCATGGCTGGGCTAGAGCCTAGAGCTATCTGCCTCAACTGTCCACGAGCCGCGCGCGAGCTGCGACTAGCTTGCACTTGCACACGCCACGACACTGACACGAGGCTGGAGTAGAGGTGAGCTCGGGATGGGGTGCACGTATATAGGCGGGTCGGGGGGCGCGCGGCACGTGCGGGAGGGCGTGACACGTGTGGCCGGGTGAGGTGGATGGGTAGGGGAGTCGCGCAAAGGGTGTGTTGTGCTGTGGCGTCGGGAGAAGGTCGGAAGGACGTGTCGTGTTTGTTTTACACACTCGGTCGCTCTTTTTTCCTTTGTCTCAGAGTTTGAGCTCGGTTGCCGTGAGGATTTAGGTTATGACATGTGCACGGATGGATCGACTGGAGAGATCGATCGGCGAAGGATTCATCCATGTTGTTGCCATGGTGCTTCCGTACGCTCTTATATATTCAAACGCCACTTCAAATGAAAATTCAAATGAAAATAGGGTGCAATAAATCAAGGGACTACATAGGATATCCTCTCTGTCTTTGGTGTACCGTCCGGACTTCGCACCAACTTTGCCAAGTGTTCGGTTACTCCGATCCGCTGTTCGGCTGAAGACCTGGAGCTAGTTCAGTCCTGCTTTTCCTACTCGATCTCTGATTTTCCTTGTTCTTATCTCGGCATTCCGCTATCCGTTCACAAGTTGCCGAAGGCGGCCCTGCAGCCGCTTGTGGATAAGGTTTCCCATCGTCTTCCTCCCTGGAAGGGACGACTCACCACTATGGCCGGCCGCTCTGTTTTGGTCCAATCTATTATCTCCTCCATTCCGGTCCATGTGTCTATGGCGATCGGCCTTCTAGCCTGGGTGATCAAGGCCATTGACAAGAAGCATCGTGCCTTCTTGTGGACGGGCACGGACTCGGCTCACGGTGGGCAGTGTCGGGTTTCTTGGACGAATGTCTGTCGTCCCAGAGCTTTCGGTGGGTTGGGAATTCCTGACCTTAGGTTGGCAGGTTTTTCCCTGCGTGTTCGCTGGCTTTGGCTCCAACGCTCAGGGCATCCCTACTGGGATAGCCTGAAGGCCCCAGCCGAGCGAGCCGTCTCTGACATGTTTGAGGCGTCCACCTTCTTCGTACCAGGTGATGGTGAGTCGATTCTTTTCTGGTCTGACCAATCGATCTGTGGCCGCTCGGTAGCTTCCTTGGCTCCGGATCTCCTCTTCGCTGTGCCCCCGCGTCTGCATGGTTCGCGCAAGGTTGCTTCTGGCCTAGCAAACAACGCCTGGATTTCTGACATCCGCGGCGCCCTCATTGTCCCGGTCATCTCCCAATTTCTTCTTGTTTGGGATGCGGTGCTCCACATTCAACTTACGCCGGGTGTCGGGGATCGTCTTTTCTGGCGTTGGACGAGTGACTAGCGCTACTCGGCGCGTTCGGCGTACCAGGCGTTCTTCTTTGGCCAGCACTCCTTTGCTTGTGCCGATCTTCTCTGGCACGCGAAGGGCCCTGCTAAGTGCAAATTCTTCCTCTGGTTTGCATTTCAGTAGCGCTGTTGGACGGCTGATCTCCTCCAGAAGCGCGGCATTGATAGCCACTCGGCCTGCCCCTTTTGCGCTCAAGAGCTTGAGACGGCGAACCACATCCTCCTTGACTGCGTGTTCGCTCATCAGGTCTGGTTACGGGTGTTGTCGTCTACTGGCTGGGCTGCCCTCTCTCCCCTCCGTGGCAGCTGGCTACAGGATTGGTGGCCATCTTCTAGGGCTTGTTTACCTGATCATCTCTGTGCCAGCTTCGACTCCGTAGTCCTCCTAGTCTCATGGCAACTGTGGAAGAAACGTAACTCCAGGGTTTTTGACTCTGTGCTCTCTTTGGTCGCAGTGGTCCTAGAGTCCATCCTTTCAGAGGCCGGATGTGGTCATTAGCGGCTGTCGCTTCCTTTGGGGAATTGTTGAGAGCGTAGAGTGGCTCTGCCCCCTCTCGCTGTTTGGAGTAGAGTTACCGTCGTTTCGAGTTCCTTTCCTTTCTTTGTTTTTTATCTTTATTTTTCTTCCTTCCTTGTCATAGGCCGGTCTGGCTGAGTGCGTCGTGTATCAAAATTCTATTCTTCTAATATATTGACGTGTAATCCTTTTGCGCGTTCGCGAAAAAAAAAATCTTAAATCTTGTAGAATTTTCGATCAAATGCAACTACTAACCGCTACTTACAACATAATAGTATAATTGTAATGCACTATGCAACCCGGAACTGATAGTGAATGTCTCCCGTCCACCCATCCAACCCTCATCCTCTGTAGGCAAGAACTGACGCTAATAACATTTTATCAGAATCGGTTTATTAAAAAAACTAACACTAATAATATCGATACTGGTTCAGTAAAATACTATTTGATATGTGAAACATCAGTACCGGTTTTTTATATGAACCGACATAGATAGAGATATCGAGCAAATTCAGTCGATCGACTCTTTTAAGGTTGACTCAACCAAAATCATCTTTTGAAGTCTTGATCTATCTCTTTGTCTCTTGTTCTCCCCATTTCCCTCTCGCTCTTTCTCTAGTATCACGCATCCTCCATGCCTCCACCGCCACAGCTTGAACAGCAAGTGCCAACAGTTCACGTCCCCTCTCCTGGTGTGCACAGAAAGAGAGCACGCATTATGGGGGCCCTTCTTCGGATCTGGACGAGGACCTGTTGCCCCACCAGTATGACGAGGGAGATAGACAATGGCTGCGTCTCAAGGGAGATGACGGCAACAAGCTAAGGGAGATCAACGACGGTGTTGGCAGCTCCGCTGGGATAATGATGGTGGGTCCAATTTCATGTTGGTTTCTTGATCTATTGAATGTTGTAGATGGCATTAAGATATTTATTGGACCATTTGTTAATCAATAAACGACAATATTCTCTCTCTTTTTGCTCCACATTGTAAAAATTGCACTCGGTGTGTCGGTATTGGAAAAGTAGTTGATATTTCATATGTACTATTTTCTCTTATGCTTAGTTCTTTTCAGATTATTTACTGAATTGTTGAAACGGATTGTTTGCTCCATGTTTCAAAAAATATATCTTCTCAAAATACTTTCTTCTATTGTATTGCTTGCACCATTTTTATAAAAAATATTTGTTTAATTTTATTTATCAAAATATTTAATTTATCTTCTTGGTCTAAAAAATTAATTTATCTTCTAGGTCTAAAAAAATAATTTATCTTGGATCTATAATTAAGTAGGTAATCCACAACAACAATTTGCTCAATAATCTACTATTCCATACTGAGTCTTTGACGCTGATTTTTTACCATTGTTTGTCATGCCCTTAGATGGACTGTGAATAGTGGAGAGTGGAGAGCGTTTTGGGTGGGACAATGCAGCAGCTGGGGGTTAAACTAGTGAGGTTTTGGGATGCGATTAATTAAAAGAAACACATGTCGTGTGCCATATTTTCAAATCGGTAATGCCTATTATATTGTTTGGACCGAGAAAACATACTGCTCGATCGCATGATCTTGTAGCGGTGCTGTAGTAGTGGCTGCGCCACTGTAGTCGATCAGAGCCTGTGTAGGTGCGCACTTTGACATGTTACCAGCATGTGGGCGGCTACAGATGTGGGTTGGTGTGGGTTTTCTCCCCTCTAAGTCCTGCAGAAGTGCAGAGAGATGCGGCGCCATCCCACGAAATGTACGATCTATTCGACGGTGCAAAGCAAGAAACGGCGAACAATGACGTGCAGGATATGTTGTGCGGCCGATATCTACCTTTTCTTTTTGGATGCGGTGCCGGATTGGCACATTACAATTTTATTACAACGGTGCCGTCCGTAATAGTGGAGCATTACGCTCCCCAGTATCGTCCAAGCGAAAAGACACGCCACACGTCCACGCTACTGATTGGCTGCCATCTTTCTTGTGAATAAAACATGTGACGAAATGCAGCGCCGGAGGGCATACGACTATACGAGATAAGACAAAGGACACGAAGGACTAAAGGCCCAACTCGTCTGTATATTTGGGCCGAAAGGACTAAAGAAAGCTGGGCTAGATGCTAAGTTTGTAGATGGACTGGGCTAGGCCAAATAATAGCAAAGAATTTTGGGCCCATAGACTTGTCACGCTAGAACAAGTCCCATCTATAAAAGTCTATTATACCTGCCTCATCCCTTACCCTTGGATCGAATCGCTTCCCTCAACTATAAATCGGGTATAGTGTATACCCCATATTAGAAAACCTGTGCGGTTTGCGAAGCGGTTTCTACAGGTGGCCCCACATGTCAGTTCATTTTCTCCTTCCCCGCCTCTCTCTCTCTCTCTCTCCTCACAAGCAGTAGCGGAGGCAAGACAAACTGAATCGCCGAAGGACGTGGCTGACAGTGGTGAGGCGGTGCGCAAAGGAAGTCCTAGAGGGTCGCTACCATCTTGGATGCTAAGGAGGCCACCAGAGGTGGCACACAACAAGAACCCATTGATGGTGGCAAAGCTGTTAGAACCCACCAAGGAGTGCGTCCAGGAGTGCATCCTGCCGTTCGCTCCTTCGGCAAAGCCATCTGGTTGTCAACAGATGAACTGGATGGATGATGCGGCGGCGTAGGAGCTTGGAGGTGGTGGTGCAATGGACTACGAGGTTGGCGTGGCACATGTTGACCATGACGCTGCTCATGGCTAGCCTCGAGGAGTACTCGTTGTGAGCTTGCCTCCCGCAGGCGCTCTTCTACGGGTTTCCGCCCGGACGGGACGTTGTTTCTTGCACGGCCATGGTGACCGTGTGAGGCACAGGTTCTTGGGTGAAGCCATGTTTGTGTCCTTTGGTCGACTGGTACATCATTTCCTCCACAACCATGGTGACCACCCACGCGAGGCACGGGTTCTAGGACGAGGCCGTTCTACTGTTCTTCACCATGGTGGATGACGGCATCGTGCCCATCATGTTCTTAGCGTGTGCGCAAATCGGGGACCTCACGGTGGGCCGATCGTCCTCGGATCTGGGCAGAGAGTGACCTCACTAGCTGTTTTGATCCTACCCATCACTGCACACGCCCCTCCGGCTGACCGCCCCTACAGGAACACGTCGAAGGAATTGGTGGAGTGATAACAAACTAGTGGCAAGGAATCAGTGTTGGCAACAACGCTGGGGGGAGGAGGAGA